GGGGATGGAAAAAGATATTGCTTTGATGGACCTAGAAGGTATTTAAGTCAGACAGAGAAAGATAAATACCGTATGATTTCACTTATATGCAGAATCTAAAGAATAAAAAGAACAAACTAATCAAAAACAGGCTTAGAAATATAGTGGACAATTTGGTGTTGGACAGAGGGGAGAGAGATTTGAGGGGCTGGAAGAATGGGGTGAAGGGTTAAAAAACTACAAATTAGTAGCTGGTGGATGGTCATGGGGATGGGGAGCACAGCACAGGGAATGCAATTAGCATTAATATGTTGACTAGGTAGACGGTCAGGGGAGGGAGGGAGCAAATGGGGGGATCATTTTACGAACTATATAGATGTCCAACCAATGTACTGTATCCTTGAAACTATTTAAAATAAATAAATTTAAAAATAATAATTAAAAAAATAAAGTGATTACTGATAGGTAAATAAATAAATAAATAAATAAATGAGACAGGATTTACATATAAAACCAAAGCTTAGCTGTTTATCGCATAACTGTTTACTTGTTAGCTCTGTATCTTTAAGGAAGCAAGTTTTTGAAAATTATTTGAAGTTTCTTTCTTTTATATTATTTTCTCTGTCTTACATTCTCCTTAAGTCTGTACAAATTCTCAACTAGTTTGAGAAACCTCAGTAATTTCTTCATTGAACAGATATTTACTGAACAGTTTTACAATTTTTAGCTCTTAGATTTGCGACTTTGATCCATTTTGAGTTAACGGTGCCTGTGGTATATAACGGTGTGAAATAGATGTCCAATCTCATTCTTTTGCATGTGAAAATCCGGTCACGCCAGCATTATTTGTGGAAAAGTCTATTTCCCCGTTCAGTTTTCTTGGCACTCTTGTCAAAAATCAATTGACCACAGTGCATGCATTTATTTCTGGACTCTCAATTCCGTTCCTTTGATTTATACGTCTAGCCACGTGCCCGTACCACACTGTCTTGATTACTGTAGCTTTGTAGTAGGTTTTGAAATCAGAAAGTGTGAGTACTCTAGATGCGTTCTTCTTTTTCAACATTGTTTTGGCTTTTCTGGGTCCCTTGTATTTCCTTATGCATTTTAGGATGAGCTTGTCCTTGAGAACCTTTGAAACTGTGATTGATTCTAATTATAAATATATATATATATATTTATAATTCCAATATATGAGGTCATCGTGGTCTATTTCTCTTGGCTTTTTAAATTGAAATATAATTGACCTATAGTTTTGTATAAGTTTAAAGTGTTCATGTTTATTTGATGCACTTATATATCGCAAAATGATTATCATCTTAGCCATTAACGCCTCTATCATGTTATGTAATTGTTATTTCTGTTGTCTTTTATTTTGTGTCGACTCTTGCTCATGGTCTCTTGTTTCCTTGTCTGCCTGTTTGTCTCTGACTGTGCTGCTCACTATATCTGAAAATTATTTGGAAAAAGAATATGAGGCCTAAGATAATGACACCTCCCTTCAGAAATGTTTTTTCTTTACATCTACCAAGCACCTGAAGACACTACTAATCCAAGGCCACTTTAATTCAAGTTCAAGGCTTGAGTTTCTTGAGTCACCCAAATCCCTGTGCTGAAGGCCTGGTTTTCTTCGGGTTCACCCTTATTCTAAGGATGTCTCAACTTGTAAAAATGTGGGGTATCAGGCTCCCTCTCTTAGACAAAAGGCTGAGCTTACCTTTTCTTCTTCCTCCTCCCACACTCCCCATGAGGCATCAAAACCACAGCTCAGTTTCAAAGCTGCTTCTCCCAGATTGGCAAATGCCCTTGGACCAATGCAGTCTTCCACACCGGGCTTTCCTTCCTAGATTCTTGCCTTCGCCTAGATTCTTACTAGGGAATTCTCGACCACCCTGTTAATTATTTGATGGTCTTAAGAAGATGATTTTTTTTTTAAATTGGATCTGGGGACTATCATTGTCTTCGACAGGAGGGTTGGTCCAAATCACCCACCCCACTGTTACTGAAGGCAGAAGCCCCTGCAAAACCACAATTTCTCAGTGGCATTTCCTTACCTTTGCCCAGGCTGTGCCCAGGTCAGGATCTACCCCCTCTCTACTCATCTCAGGCACTCCTAATCGCAAAGCCCTACACAGAGCTTTGCCACCAGAAGCTCTCCCAACTCAAGGTCCCTTGCTCTCAGCCCTGGCCCCTAGAGTCCACAGCTCTGCCGTTGCATTTACTCACCATCGAACATTTATGTGGCACCTACAGTATGTCAGGTCCATCCTGGGCACTGGGGATCAGCTAAGAACGACACAGAAGCTGCCCCTTACCCTTGAGGAAGATAATAGACAATTGGTTGCAACCCAGTGGGATCAAGGTTGGGAGCAGGAAGCAGAGAGAGCCACGGGATACATTGCAAGGAGATCCGACCAGAGGAGGCTTCCATGGGGAAGTAATATTTAAGCTGAGGCTTGAAGGGTGTGTAGCCATCACACGGCAAACAGGGTTGGGGTGGGAAGGGCGTTCCAGGCAGATCGAAGATCTGACAAGGAGCGGAGCAGAGCTGGTGAATCAGAATGGGGTGCAAGAAAGGAGGGGACCTGGGGTGAAGCTGGGAGGTGGACCGAGCGCCCCCATCTGACTTTACGGTTCTCCTCTTCCGTCTTCCCTCTTCTGCTCCTAAAGGCAAGGCTACAAGGAGAGAAGAGCCTCACAGCCGAGAGAAAGCAAACTTGACTTTCTACACTAAAGAACTCCTTTCAGGAAAGGTCACGGTCCCTGGCTACCTCAATCCTGCAGCTTCACCTCCTTCCTCTCCTCTTGCCTGGGGCAGAATGGTGAATGGCCACATCCCCTTGTCACAGGAGAAGCAGGATGTAGAGTTGAATGAGGCTACAGAGACTGTCTTCCTTAACTGCCCCTGCCGGAGTGTCTCCCGTACAGGCCCTGAGGCCCTTCCTGCAGCTCCATCCTCACTGGGCTGTTTGTCTTGGATGTGGTCCCTGATCTAGGGAGCCGGGAGGGATGTGGTGCATTGGCATCCAGCTTTGAACCCTCAGGAAAAGTCCCAAGTGATGCTGCTCTCTACCCAGCCAGGATTCTAGAGACTGGGGACACACAGAACCTCCAGCCTCTCACCTGCTTCGCAGGTCACCCCAACATCAGTCCCGAAGGAGAAGGTTGGTTAACCCTCAGGAAACCAGGAGTAGAGAGGGGAGGCTAGATTTCTGTTCAGACCACCGACATGTTTATAGCAGGGAGTTGGGTAGGTCATCCCAGCTGGGAGAGGGGTTCCTTCGGCCATTTACCCCACCCACTCTATTGTCCAGATGGCTAAACCGAGCCTCAGGTCACATGGCAAATTCCCTTCTCCCCACAGGTGCTTCTCCCCACAGGTGCTTGTTGGCCAGCCATGGTGGCTGTGGTGGCTGTGGTGGCTGTGGTGGCTGTAGCTGCAGGTGCTGCAGGAGTTAACCGTTCAGCCCAAGAGCCTGAAATGTGGCCTCTTGGGAACAGAGAGAGCTCACGGCTCCTCTCCCACCCGTCATGCTCCATCGGAGGCTGACACTTTCCTGGCCCGCAGCTCCAGGGGCATCAAAAAAAGACATGTTTTGTTCAAGTGTCCTAAGGCTCCGTCAATGCCTTCCAGCCAGAGACCACCAGACACACACCTGAACAAAAGTGAGTCCTGTCGTGCAAGGTGGGGGAACACACTCCTCGGGAAGGCAAGGGGCAACCCAGCGAGTGGGAGTTAGGAAGGACTTCGGAAGGGGTTCAGGCTGCGGCTAGGTGATCGGGGAGGGCTCAGGGGATGGAGCTTTGCCTTGGGTGGGACGCCATTATGATGGGGTGGGGGAGTGGGGAGGGTGGGTGGTTAGTCTGCAATTGCATATCTTAATTTTAATCGAAAAGGGAAGAAAAACGAATGGAAGCTAAAGCTGTGATTGGCAAAGAAGCAGCCATCACAGGTTTAGCCAGGACAGAGGGACGTGTGGTCATTTTTGTGGTTTGGACTACGTTCATTCCCCACCCCCAACCGCGTTCAGACGTGATCACAGAATGGTCTTTTTTTCTGTCCTGATCCATCGTGGTCTTTGAGTGGCTTTGACTGATGTTTGTGATCTGTAAAATTGCTTGTGCTTAACAGGAGCATGCCCTGGCTTAGCTAGGAGGGCTGCTTTTCTCTTTCTCAATTTGAAAGGAAACAGCGTGGAGCCCTGGAAAGCTGGCCACGTCACACAGGGTCCCTGTGAGGGCACATGTCAGCCGAGCCTTATCTGTTGGCCCCAAGGCTGCAGAGGAAGCTCAGTTGAGGCAGGGAAGCCAAGAGGCTTCAGAGTCAAAGCTGGGTTCAAATTCTGACTCTGCTCATGCTCTTGGACAAGTCACTTCCCCCCTTGCAACTTCACCCACTCAACAAACACTTAGGGGTTGGGGACCTTGGCCAAGTGCCATAATTCTCTGGCACTCAGTTTACGCCTCTAGAAAACAGGAATAATATTGGTACCTAAGAAAAAGTAGTGCCTATCTCCTAGGGCTGCTGATCTGTACTTCCCAGGGGTCCCTGCCTCCCCGACCACCCCTGCCTCGTGACCCTTTATTAAGGAGGAAGCAAGAGGGTTTGGCCTGTTTTGAAGAGTGAGTCCCCTGCCCACCGGCCTCAGAACCTCATACCTCAGCTTGTCCCCAAGGCAGGTCTGGGGCTGCACAAAGCAGAGGAGGTTCTGGCCCCTCCAACCTATGATTTCAGCTGCTCCTGGGGCTGAACTATGTGACACAGCAAGGAAGGTGGCCCCACATCTTGGAATTGCCCTGTAGGCAGCCAAACCCCTGACTCTGCCCAAGTATCAGCTCCACCACCGCGGCCTGGGTACTGCCCGTTCCTTGGTCCAAGTCTGATCAGCCGGACGCTGTGGGGATGCCCTCCCAGCACGGACATCCTGTGGTTCCCTGGCCTTCTCTAGAACACTGGTGCCAGTGTGGTTGATGGGGCCTGGGGAGGCAGAAAGGGTGCCAGGGCCGTGGGAGTGGAAGGGAGCATGCACCATCCTGCCTTCTTCAGGCGTGGAGGAGGCGGTGGTGACAGAGGAGGGTGTGAGACGAGCATAGGAAGAAGTGTGTGTCCCTGCCAGAGACGGTTACCTGGGCTTAAGTGAGACGGCAGGTGGGGGCTGTCAGCCAAGGGCCGTGGGTGTAGGTGTGTGCAGAATGTGTGGGCAGGACTCCGACAGCAGGGTGGGTGCGTATTCGTGTGTGCGTGTGTGTGGTGCCCTCACCTTGGTGGGCAGGTCTCAGAAACAGCCTGGGTTCAGGATTCGCACCGGCCTGGGTCATTTCCCCGTTGTGTGACCTCAGCCAGGACACTTGCCCTCCCTGAACCCTGTGCATCCACTCCTCTAGTACAATATTTGAGCTCTTGGCACGCACTGGTCATTGAGGAGGCAGGGACAAATGAGGCAGACAGAGTCCGACCTCTCATTCAACTGCTGGCCTGAGCTTTAGTTTCCCCATCTTTAAAGTGGGGGGTAGCAATATCCATCTCCGAGATAATGTCGGTAAATCGCACGGCATCCCGTTAAAGGGCTTGGCGGACATTTGTTTTCTTCCTCCTGGAAACCTCGATGCCGCACCTCTCCTTCCAAGGGACACAGTAGGGGCCCCCTTCAGGGCACGGTCCGGCTCTCAGACCACTTGCTTTCTGCCTGGCTCACGGGCCCTGGGAGTGAGTGGCAAAGGTATCTGGGGCAGGGTGGATGATAAGGGAGCCTCGCGGTCCAAGAACACTGGTGACTTCCCAGCACCAGCCGAGAGAAGTGGGGGTGGGTCTGGAAGGCAAAGAGTCTCTGTGGGGGCCCTTCAGTCACCCCCCCACACACCCACCGGGTGGGCACAGGTGTGGGATGGAAACTCCTCCGACAAGCTAGGACACCCTCTTTCATGGCGAGAGGAGGCAGGGAAAAGGGCAGAGGAGGTGGCTGCCAACTTCTCACTGGGCTGCTGTTTACATCCAAGCCATGAGCTGGCTCTTGGCTTCGCTGCCTGCTCCCCAGCCAGGTGTGCTAGGAGAAGCTCCCTGGCTCCGGCCCGGCCCCCGTCAGCATTCGATGCTCTGGTTCGGCTGGATTTGGGCACCAAAAGAGATAGCTGGGGCAGGTGACTCCTGACGCTTGCTTAGAACCAGATGCCTGATTTCCCCCTCCGTCTGATTTCTTTCTCGGGCCCACGGCAACTCCTCTGAGGCTGAGGAACAGCTGTGCCCCCTTTCAGGGAAGGCTGGAGAAACCTCAGGGAACTTCTGGGCCAGAAAGGACAGTGCCCTGGAGAAGGGGTCGATGCCCTCTCTTTTCAATATTAGTGGACTAGGGGCGCGTCTCAGTGAGGGTGGCTGCCACTGGCCAGCCTAGAAAGCAAGTGGGGAGGCAACGGGCTATAGCTAAAGTGGGAAAGATTCACGTGAGACCCCAGATTATCACTCAGGCCCACAGTGAGGGATGCTGGAGTCAGAAACGGATGCTTATGCGGCCGCTGAGCTGACCCGTCTCGGGGCTTCTTTTGGCAGGGGAGAGGAGACAGGCCAGGAGAGAATGAAGAGGAAACCAGGGGGCAGGGTCCCCTCTCCATACCGAGTGAGGGGCGTGTGGATCCCAACCTCCCCACCCACCCATTTCCTTCTGCGTTGCCAGCCATCACTGTGGAGAGGTCCCAGGCTTGGGGGTCATGGAGTTAGAATTGCGGGGTGTAGGTGATCCCTTTATCCTTTCTGAGCCTGTTTTCCTCTGCTATGTGTGTACCTGCCTCTCAGGGCCCATGTGAGATCACACCACGTCACACCAGCAGCCCGATGTGTGAGCCCTGTGTCTGACACGCCTCCTCGCACATGGTTTAACTTATTCCTCCCATCGGTCCTCTAAGGCAAGCAGCATTATAGCCCCATTTTACAGATGAAGAAACTGAGGCCTAGAGAATCCAAGGGAGACATGTGGTAAGCTGGGAGATACCTGTCCTGGGGGGGCCCCTCGCCTCCCCTCTCAGAGAGCAGCGAGTGAGGCCAAGTGGCCCAGGTGTGTCGCAGCTTGCAGAAGGGGAAGAGGCTGATAGCGAAGCTCCGGGACGCGGTTGGCCTCATCGAAGGGGAAACTCGCCATCCAGGCAGGTGTCTCTTCCAGTCGCCTTCTCAAGTTTCATTTCCTGAAGCAATGGGTCACAGCTGCACGGCTGGCTCCCCTAATGACACTGAGTGGCATCCAGGGCTCCAGGCTGAGGCTCTGCCCAACGCCCACCACCCTCAGCTTCCAGGCCACCCTCGGACCTGCCCCGAGGGACAACTGCTTCCTCGCCCACTCAGCCCTCTGTCAGGGCTCTGCCTCCTCGTCCTGCGCACGTTCAGCTCCTAATTTGCCTGGCTCCTGGCACCCTCTCCCAGGGCATCTGGCATCGGGATGTCCAGAGAGAGACGCAGAGAGGCTCTCTGCTCTGACCCAGTTCCAACCTCGCGTTTGCTTTCTGTTCAGAGAACGAGGTGCAGGGAATTAAGATGCCCTCAGTACACCTTGTGTCACAATGCTGGGAGGAGGGGAGCCAGGAGCAGAACCCAGCCACCTGCTCCAGCAGGACACTTCCGACTTTATCCGCGCGACCTCCGTTAAACCTTGCTCCCTTCCTCCTTTACCAGACCCCCACCCACCCACCGCCCGCCCCTTCCAGCTGCTGTCCAAGCTGTGGCCTCCCCTCCTTGCCCCCTCTCCTTTCCCAGCCCCCCCCCCCCCCACCGCCCGCCCCTTCCAGCTGCTGTCCAAGCTGTGGCCTCCCCTCTGGCCTCCAGCCTCCAGTCTGGCCCCTCCCAGCAGTCTCCTGTGACCGTCCCCACCACCCCCGTGCTGAATCCTTCATGGCTCCACTTGACCCCCTGTAAAGTCTTGACTGCTGGCTCTGGCATTCAGTGCTGGCCCTGCTGTGACCGGCCCTGCAGGGCCTTCTCCTCACAGCTAGCCTCCTGGCCCCGAGTCCGCCCTGCGTCTAGAGGTGAGGGACACAGTGGTCCCTCATGAGTCCTCAGGGAGAACTGAGGCACAGAAAGAGACTGACTCTACCTTGCTCCAAGCCCCCTGGCCCGGCCAAGGGCTAAGCCTTCACCCCCCCACTTCATTGCCCACCCCAATTCCTGTAAGCCAGAGCTGATGAGGGGGAGGTGGGCAGCCCGTGCAAATCACCCCTAGGTGCTGCGGGCACCATTTAGCCTCGCTGCCCACCCACATGCACACTCCTGCCCTGAGCAGCCACGGGTCAGGGCACAGGCCCTGAGGCCACCTCCCAGCGCCGTCCCTGGGGTAGGCCACAGCTTGGCACGCTTCTCCTGTTCCAGGCAGGGCTCCACCCTGGTGCGCCCACCCCACTTGCCCTGCCCCGGCGGCCCCCAGCAGGTTGTTTTCCCCAGCTCTGAGCCCGGCTCAGCCTCCAG